ACTTAAATAGTTCTAGAATATGATTATAGGGGATTTTTGCTCTGCTCATAATTGTTATGGTTCTTTTTATTCTATAATTTTCCATAAGTATAAAACCATTTAAGAGAGACTAACTATAAGAATGACAATAACTTTATGGAGACAATGGATTTCAGTAGGAGAAATCATGATATTCAAAGTGTACACATGCTATTCAGAAAGCAGTTACTCTCATAATTATTTTATATCTAATCCTAAAATAATCATGAGGATAACATACAAAAGTGACATTGATTAATTCTGTAATGCCACAATTGGTAACAGGTTTATTTACTATTATCAGTTCCTAGCTCTTTTTTTTACAATCAATATTACCTGCAAAACAAAGCTCAACTTAGAAAACAAACGCTCAGTGAAGTTCATTCCAGATTTTGATTTATATGCTTCTCAAAGCAGCAGGAAGCTAAGATTTGAGGACTTCACCAGCAATATGATTAAAAGTCTAATAAAGCTCAGTGATTTGGAAATTTCTGCTCTGGCAAATAATGGCTTATGAATTACTAGTTAAGTCATTGTTCTGAAAAGTACACTTCTGGGAAATTATGCTAAATGAACCTTGATGTTAGCTGGGTGACTATCAACTATTTCATTGTGGATGGTATGAATAAACTGAACATTAGATAAGAGAATTTAGGATAAGACTTTTATTGACAAGGAGGTCTCCAAATGTTTCCATCAGTGTAATACACAGTATTTCTAACAAAGGTGCTGAAAAAAAGGAATAGAGTAAAAGGTGACAATTGCCTCTACCATTACTTAAAATATTTACCTTGCAGTTTAATGCCAAAAACAAGCTATTATGGTACAAGTCTGATTTAAATTATATATTACCATTTTGAATTTGGCATTCCATATGCATATCTGTGTGAAGTGGAAATGGAATACTAAGAGCATAATGCTGAAGATGTCTCAAACATGGTTTTTTTTCTTCAAAAGGCAATCAGACTGTTTTTTCTTTGAGGAAGAAGAAAAAAGTAGAGGAAAGAAGAAAATAAAGAAAAAAACAGTCCAGTTTCCTTTTGAAGATAAAAAAGCAGCTTTGAGACAACTATGACCTGCCTGACTGAAAATCTCCACAGAAAATGTTGAAGATGTTTTCTGTTTCTGAAATGCAAATTCACCTTTACTGTCATTTGAGAGAAGTAAATCACCTGTTATCTACCATATTGCATTCATTCTGTTTTGCAAGACTTTATCTACAATATATTCACAATATTTTCTTATCATGTTACAGTGATTATAAAATTAGCTCCCTAATAAAGCCACAGTCTCTACTTCTATTCAGCAATTAATCAATGTTTACCTAGTGCTAAAGGCTCCTTGCATCGACTTTTACTCAGCAATTAAAAGTGTCGTACCATGAAAATTCAAATAATGCAAACATAATTCTGCTATTCATTAACCTTTTTAGCAAACATAATCCACATAGAGAGTATTATGGAGGACATAATTACATATGGTTAACATATAGCTAACATTACATATATGTTAGGGATTTAACTTTATATATACATGGGATCTATACAATTATACATATACACTAGGTATACATTCTAATTTTGGTTGTAGGAAACAGCACTTAAAAGCACATTGTATATAGCATTACAAACTGCAGTTCAGAAATTAGACTTCTCTTCTAAAAGATCCTGATCTAATTTCATTGTTAACCTGGTTGCTCATTCATAAAACTAAGCAGAGAAATTACTTATTTGGGGGAATCAATAAATATTCAAAATGCTGCAAGTACACATGTTAATTTTATAGGGTAGCTTAAAATATTAATGCTACGTGGTATGCACAGATGATTAATCAAAAATGTTGGGCAGGAGCTACATTGATTAGATTTTTCTGTGATTAAAAAGCAATCCTTTTTGGTGTAAGTCACATAACAAGTGCCATTATGATCATGTGAGTTATGATGCCTATGTAATCTTGATATAATCATTAATCTAAATTAATGGATTGGGAAGTAGAGAACATTGGAGAGCATGTTCTATGACTTGGTTTTGGTTATCCTCTTTTGCTTTTTAAGAAAGCTACAAGTCCTATCGCCTGGGCCATTTTCAGAGTTGGCTACCTATGGTTACAATTATCTGAGAACAAAATAATATTGACAATGAGAAGACATCCCAAGAGCAATCTAATTAATAAAACATAAATATATTATACACCCCTCAGAAGTAAATCCACTCAATAGAAGAAATGGGTAAAGGATAATCCTCATATCCTGCTAACTATAGCTTGAAAATCTCTCACTAATTGCTGTAAAGTTTGCATCCTCATAACATTTTTATTCCATTGTGAAAGCAGCATACTTTGAATTTACCAGATACAGTTTATAAGCAAAGTTTATGTCTTCTCAAGACACAAATCTTGTCATACAAAATCTTTTCCCAGTGCTGCTGATGCAACTAGAGGCTGGGACTTTCCCAATTCCTGTCAGTCTCTTTAGTCTGAAGTGGGTATACAGCTCCCTTCCATTTACTTGGTTGGCACTGTTTTCTATGGACATTGTGGTTTGGGTTGCAGAACAGATCAGACACTTTGCTTCCAGAGGCATCTGGGTGAAAGGGAAGAAGCAATGTTAAAAGATTCCTCTTAAAATCAATGAGAAACTTCCATTAGTCTCAGTTTACCTCTGAATAGGCATGCAGAGGATTTCATGTTTTAAATGGGAAGGAATGTTTGTCTACCTATGTTGAAACGTGGGTCATATTTTTACTTCTGAAGCCCATCCTCCAAGGACCTAAAAGAGACTTATTCCCAAATGCTTAGTTGGATGGTAGCTTTAAAAGATAAATGCTCTGAAACACCAACAAGTAGGTTGCCTCAAATTAACAGCCATGTTTTTGTTATATTATTTTCCAGTGTTACAAAAATGGCTATTTGGAGAGAACAACTTGCAAACTGTTTCTGCTTTCTGCAGAGAGTCTGGTTCATTAAAATTATTGAGACAATTCAAATTAATTTGGGGTAAATCAAAAGAAGTCCGATTACAACCAGAGCATGGTTTGACAGGTGGCTCAACCCACTGATCTGGCCATCTGTCAACTTATCTCCTTCCCACCCCACTTTAAACAGAATGACTGGTGGATGGTTTTTTCTGCCAGTTGATGACAGTGGGAGAGCAAACAAAGTTGGGGAAATCTATAAATGGTTTCCCTGACATTCTTCCACATTAAAAGTGTATGGACAATACCATATTATGGTCTTGTACCTGAGACAGGACAAGGCTTAGCAAAGTAAGGGTAGTGCAAAGTATTCCAGCATACTTTTTTTTCTTGTCTCAAGAACTGGAAGAACTTATATAGCCCTGAGAAAAAAACCTACTTGTGGAAGCTATTTTCAATAGAAAATGAGTAAGACAGTGATACTCAATATCACAAGGTATATCTGTTTATAGGCTGTATTTTTAAGTGGCTGTTGGCCCAGGAATGTGATGAACATAAGACTTATTCAGCTAGCTGTTACTGATTTTTCCAGAGATGTTAGTAGCATTTATATATTGCCTTATGTGTTATTTTGGCAGATAACACAACACATAGCATCTTCAAAACCAAACAACAGGGATATAGTTTTTTTCAACCCAATGTCTGTCTTACACATGTAAACACACTGTTTTATCTGTCTCACATGCACACTCATTTTCTCACACACAAGCACACATACATGCACAAATAACTAGTGTGCATAAATGTTCCCTTGGTCAATTATAATTCTTTTAAAAGTCCAAAAGAAAACCACTGAAGGAAGCAAAAGGTATTTATCTTTGCTATCATTTTTTTTCCTGTAAAGTAAAAAGATTAACTGTTCAGAATTAAAATTCAGGTTTTTTTTTTGTCATTAAACGAAATATTTGAAAAAAAGCAACACAAGCAAACAATTTAAACTACTTCTGAGTTTAACGTAATATAAATGTCAATCCTGTGTCTTGAGTTCATATCTAGGACAAGTTTGATATATTAATTTATGTAGGTATTTTTTAACCTATTATAGAGCATCTGTTACCAAACAACTTGGAAATGGAGCAGCATGGACCCCTCAAAGTTTTTGGGTGGCAAATGAAAAAGGAGTTCCACGGGGCCACACCTTAGCCTGATAGCATTGGGCTGGGTGTATATAGCTTGCAAGTTATGGATTGCTTAGCCATGATGTATATGTACACAAATTTTTCATACATTGGCAGAATAATTAAATAGCTCTTTGTTATATGGACAGGTTACTCACTTTCTATTTTATAAATAATATATTTATTAAATTTCAACATTAAACATTAAAATAAAAACCAATAAATAAGGAAAGAGGAAAGGGAATAGTGACAAAAAAAAAATCAAACAAATTTATAAGAAAAATGACCTCCAACATTTTTTTAGTATAGAGATAATAACCCACTTCCATTAAAGCACCAATTTGCTAATTTGCTAAGATAATGTACACAAAGCAGATATGGATATTCAAAAGATTGTATAGCAAACAAATGAATGAATGTTTGTAGGCTACAAATGGTAGAAATATATTACATGACTCAGAAGTCAGTTTGATTAAAACCCAGTAAATTTCAACACTTGATATATAAGTCTATAAAGATGTTGGGAGGGAGGAAACATTATGGTTTCAATTATATCTCCAAAAGTGCCTCAAAAAAGAGCCGAAATAAGCAGTTTACTGTATAGGCTCATATTTAAACACTGTCACATTCTATAATGAACAGTGAGCCATTTGTAAATATTTACACATTTCAATCCAGCATAATTTGTTTGGTTTTTTTAAGTAAACAAATGTGCCATGAAATAGATAACTCCAAATCAGGTTGCAAGATGATGTTTGGAAAAACATTAATAACAATGTGGTCCCCATGACTACTGGTCTCTTCTGTCATCTGCCCTCCTCTTTGGCTTTCCCCTCCTCTCAGACTCCAGAGCTTGCTTTATTGCTCAGCTTCTCCTTAGTGGGGCATTTCAATTTTCACTGGAAAGTCTTAATCGATTAATTTGCGGAGAACTGAGAAACCTCTGGCATCTTGCAAGGTCCTTATTACCACTGATCTCTTTTAACCCCCAATATACTATTTTTGATATTTATTATGAAAAGAAAGAAAAAAAGAAAAGATCCAGCAAACCGGTGGAGACATTCCCTTTGAACTTCCTGGGAGGTAAGTTTTGAGTGTTTTGCTTTTCTCTGTGTCTTGATCGACATTCAATCCTGCTGTGATATTTCCTTACCCCTGGCAAACCTCATGGAATTGCTCGTGACATGTAAATTACAAGTGAACAAGGGAGATGAAAAGTTTTTTAATGACTGAAATATTAATTATTATTTCTAGTTTGTTAGATACGCATTGTAAAGCATGCATTCTGAAATGATTAAAATTTAACAACTTCTCATTACTTCATTTGAAAATTATTGATTCTTTTGGGAGAGGGTATTATTAATTTTTAGCTGTTTGAATGAAAGCTATTTGCTATATTTTTACCTTGCATAATAGTACAATATAATATATTGTCTGGATTAGATATACCCAATATTGTCCTATATAGAAATGGAAATTTTATTAATATCTAACTTACCAGCAAGTTGTTCTGTATTCTTCATCGGTTTAACACTAAGAAAAAAAAACTATAATTTATGCCATCCTCCGTATTCTAAAAAAGGAATAAAGATATTGATTCTTCTAATTAATTTTGGGAAATGTATTTCAAAAGTATGGTAGAGTTTGTTCATATCAGAATTCATAAGTATTAGAAAAACATGGCTCAGAAGAAGGAGTTGGTACCCCTCATATTTGATGCAAGAAGTTATAACAGAGCTTCTCTCTTTCTTATGTTCTTTACTGGCTTAACTTCTCTTTTTTTTTGATCTCCAGCTGCTACTGAATAAGATGGCTCTAAAATGTCACACATACCTGATAACTAATTATAGTGGAATCTCAGAATCTCAGCATTACTTCTGGAGTAAGTAATTTCAAGGCTATAATTGATGATGACAACTCGTAAGCACTTTTCAAAGTTTATTACAAATAATAAGTGTGGCCTAAAGTCATTATTTAATCACTGATATGAATTAATTTATATACCATAATTTTGAATGTTCTTGCTGGCATTGAGTCTAGCAAAACCATGTACAAAGAAGAAGAGAGTCTGAAGTTTAATATTTTGTTTGCAAATACAACAGCTACACCTCTGTGCATATATGAAGAAGGGGAAAAGATTGCTGATATCAACTCTGCCTTACCCTTTGACCTGTCCTGATTCCATCCAATGCCTATCTTGAAAATTATGGAATTGCTTTTATTCTACTAGAAAGGACTGTTGTCCAAGAATTAGATTGTTATGCTCTTTTGCACAGAAAGTCCTTTCTCAGATATATAGAAAAGGATAGAGCTCTTATATCTGGTTTGCAAAAACCTGGATTATCCTTACATAACAGGAAAGATAAAACTAAAAACTCTAACTTCTTGCATCTAGTGGTATTTGGATATTAGAAGTAAGAGATTGATATAAACTGTGGGAAATATTTTTAATATGACATTAAAAAAGACAAAAAAAAACAATCGTTTCTGCAGCATCAGTCATAAAAGCAGGATTTCTAAGCAGAACAGTATAAAAAGACTTTTAATGAACATGCAGAGATGTAAGACTGATGAAGCCAGATGCCAAAGGGCTAACGTGTTCCCTGCCTGCTGCTTCTCTCCTGTATTGTCATCCATATTGGAGGAGTTAGATGCAGAAAGGCTTATGCACCCCATTCTATATTAATCCTTCCTCAAGCAATTAATCTTAAGGAAAAAAGCTGGCTTCTATTACATGCTTATATGTGTAATGTCTGGTTCCTTGGGAAATAAAAGGAGAATAGAGCCGTAGCCACCATATTTTTCCCTTCTGTTTAGCCTTGAATAGGTAAGCTTTGACATGGTAATCATATGATCTAAAAAGTAGTGCAGTTTTACAATACTATGGAGACATGTCTCCAGAATCATTTGCAGTTGGACAGCCTCAAAATTCTATAAATAAAATAAATGTGCTTGACTCATAAGGCTAGATAATGCATGCATGTTCAGCACTCATTGACTGTGCTGATTATTTGTACTAAATGATCACATGCATGTTGAGCCATCAACAATGAATCACTTCAAGCTGCATATTAGTTAGCAATCAGTTGGGATTACTGTTTCTGTACCAGTTCCCTGCTGAGTTAGCAACCTCCCTGCCTAAATTCCTCGACTCAGTCTGAAATTGGCAGTGGAGCTTCCCAGGCTTTTGATCCTGGGGTTCTTCAATCTGCCTTCCTTGGGGTTGGAGTATGAGGTGGTTGAAAGTTCATGGTTATCATTCAGGACTTGATATATACCCTGATTTGATTTTCTTGTTGGAGCAGTGGCAACATAATCTGGAATTGGAGGTGTTCCTGGTGCATCTCACTACTGGTAAGAATACACCATTTGACTATGAGATTGTCTGGTGCTGCCCTCTGCCACAGAGAGGTAAAATCTATTAGATTGGGCTGCCCCGTTGACTGATGGACCCTGATGGCTTCTAGAGGGACCTGCAGGTTATTCCTGGTGGTCTGCTGCAGGGGTGAAATGCTCCCGGTTCGGACCAGATCGCCCAATCTGGTAGCGATGACAGTGGGTGGTTCTGAGAACCAGTAGCAAAAATCCCTGCCCATCCCACATGCCCAGCTGAGCCGCACGATCATCAGAGGCCTTTTTTTTAACTTTTAAAAGCATTTTTTCTTCAGCCGAAAAAATGCTTTTAAAAGTAAAAAAAAAAGCCTCTGACAATCCCAGCTGAGTTGCCTGATTGTCAGAGGCTTTTTTTTTCTTTTAAAAGCAAAAAAAAAAAATGCTTTTAAAAGTAAAAAAAAAGTGTTGGCCAAGCCCACCCAGTCACATTACCACCACCACCAAGCCACACCCACAGAACCAGTAGTAACAAATTTTACATTTCACCACTGGTCTGCTGCATGATCTGACTGAAGTCTTATCTGCTACTTGGAATGAGAGAGCAGTTTAGGTTTGGATCAGACTGCACTCACGGGATCTCTCTCCTCTCATGGATCCCACCACTCTCTGTAGTTGACACAGAAACTGAAAGAGATTAAATGAGAAAATAGATGTCTAGACCAATGCTGGAGGACAACAAAGAATGAACTTCACCAAACATGGATAAGAGCCACTATTGAGACTACTTTGTAGCAATAAGGATAGCAATAGTTTTCTTCTCTTACAATGTCCACAGATACCCAGCCACTTGCCTTTTTTATGGAATGGGTACTTGGAGGTCTATGTGCAAAACTGTGCAGTGGAATTTGCAGAGAATCTGTTGGATGAAATTACTTGCATTCATTCCAAGTTGGATGCCAACTTTGGTACACATCCCGGGTAGATGATCTACCAGAGTAGTCTTGTCCAGCTACCTATGATCAGTTTTGATATGTTGCACCTAAAGAAGTGGACAGGGTCCTAATGACTGAGATCCACCTGCTGCATAGATTCATGCATCTCCTGGCTAATTAAGGCTATCCAGGGAGAGGCGTGTCTGTATTTGGTTGGATCCAAGAAATGATTCATTCTTCTTTGGGAGTGGAGGTTGTTACATGCACGCACGCACACCACTTAAGGAGGTATTGCTTCGCCCCCTCTTCAAGCCATCGCTGGATCTCACCATACTGGACAATTTTCATTTTCATTTCAAGGCAGCTTCAGTGGGCCTTGTATGAAGCAGATTATCTGGATTTCTTTCAGATGGGATTCTGTCTTTGGCAAAGTAAGATGTGATTGACATCTTGTCCCAGAGCCTGTAAGGGTTTAGAAGGGGAACACGGACTTCAGCTGAATCCTGGCCATACTGAGTGTCTTTGGGGTTTTGGGGTCTTCTGGTTCCAAACAGTAGTGGCATGAATAGGGTTAAAATGTTTGGCCTTTTTATTGAATTGAATTGAATTGAATTGTTTCTTTAATGAATGTTGATTTCTGTTGAATTTAAACCAGTTTGGCAATCTTGTTGCCAAAGAAAAGCACAGAAACACCATTTAAAAGTACCTCAATAAAATCCAATTGCTGCGATAAAGGAGCTGGATTATTTCACTGAAAACTCACGATCTGAACAGAAGTTAATATAGCTATCTCAGGCTATGCAAATATATATGATAGGAAGAAAAAACAAAAAGAGACTCAGAGTGAAGGTTTAGGTGGAAGAAAATTTATAGTTCATTGGAGAGGAAGAGAGAAAGCAGGACAGAGAACAATATCAAGAGACTGTATTCTCTCCTGGAGTATCTGGTGAGTTGATTCATCCATCTGGAGGGCAGCTGATGAGCTATTAGGTCACCCCAAGTACCAGGTTTGCAGGTAAGAAGCTTCTGAGTACATCTGGGAATTGGAAATAATATTTAAAAAACAAACGATTGAAAAAGTGAAGCCTATTTGGTTGTAGCTTTGATCTATTTAGTGGGGGACGGGGGGGGAAGGGGAATTATAGGGCTGCTGAAAGCATAGGGCTATGACCCTGCAGTGTTTTGTATTATAGGATTTCCCTTTCACCTTTTTCTAGCTATGTATGTTGGAATGTCATATATTATAGTGTCAATGTTATGTTTTCAATTCTCCCTAATTATTGTTGCCCACACCATGCAAAGAAAAAGGGCGCCGGAAAAAAATTTCCCAGCAGAGGCAAAAACATTTATGACACTTAACACTGATAATGTAAAGTGCAGTCCATGAATAATTGTCCAACAAAGAAAATAGGAGAACAATCATTTTAATTTGTATTTCCTTTTAGTTTTTAGATATTTTGCTTGTTCCGATCCTAGCTTAAATTTTTAATAATATGATACTTACTGAAAGTGGCAAGACTAATTAATTCTGACTTCTGTAAATTTATGAAGTCTGTTTTACAGCAAGGGTCCCCAATCCCCAGGCTGCAGCCCATTACCGTGGCCTATTCGGAACAGGGCCGCACAAGCGGTGGGCCAGCATGCGCGCACACACACGTACAGCTCAACTTGCACAAGTGAAGCTACGCATGCGCTGGGCTGCCATTTGTGCAACCTGGTTCCCCTCTTCTTCCCCAGCTGGGCCACCAAGCCACAAAGTTTTGGGACCGCTGTTTTACAGTATACCTGTATACACACAGAGAGGGAAAGAGAGATACATATACACATATACATACAAGTACACACACAGAGACACAGAGAGAGAGAGAGAGAAACATAGACACATCAATCATATCTTTTTCAAGTAAGGAGTGTTATACAAAGCGCAACAAGTGTAAATTCATAAACCAAAGAAATTAATAGGGTCATTTACTTTTCTATTCAATCCACTTTCATTCAACAGCCAAACACTCTTAAAACTTTCTTTTCTTTTTTATCACAAAAACTTCTTAATAATTAAGTTCCCACTTCCATTTTTTAAAAAAATGGGCAGAAGTATGCTCTTATACATAACTAATTTTTTGTCTTTCAACGAAGATTCATTCATTGCAACAGACCACATATTCCCCACTACCCTTTAAGGTATTGTCATTCCTTAAAATGTCACAATTTTTGCAACTTTATTAAACATTCTACTAAGATTCACAAATTCATGTATTTGATCTTCCTTTTTCCTTCTATAATTTTTTTATCAAACTGTGGTCTTGTAATGTATCAAATTTTTATCCATTTATCCATTCTCCTCTTTCCATCATGCAATCTGCCTAATATTCACTGGAAACCATTCAGAATCTAATATTGCTACACACCTAATACATTTGTCCATAATATATTACTGAACCAAGATGATATCTATACATCCTTGTCTTACTTCCTACTCAGAGTTGAATTATTCACTAAACTTTCCATTTATTGTCATGTAAGGTTTACCTCCTTCATACACTACTGTTATCACAGTTAACAAACAACTTTCAACTCCATATCATGCAACACATTCCATAGTTCAGACCCGTTCACTTTATCATACAATTCTCTAAATCGATTAACTTTCATTAAATGTTTTTTTTTTACATACATAATTTTCAGTGATTTGCAGAAGAGTAAAAATCTTAACTCTACAATCCAGGATAAAGCTACATTACATTTCCCAAATTTTGCTCAGCAGGGTCTCTTGTACTTCTTCCTAGATGCATTTTAAAAACCAACCACTGCAGTGTTCACACTCACCCTTGTTTTCTGATAGTGTAAAGAAATTTGTTAAAGCTAGACTACATATTCAGAAAAGTGTTTTCTAATCTAGAGCTGGATTCAGACTCCTAACTACTACCCCCTTCGTTAGAAGACATCATAAAACAACTGATATATGTGAACTTACAAACAATTTGAAGATTTCCAACAAGTGCTGGCTGGGGATTTCTGGGAGTTGAAGTCCACACAAGTTGCCAAGGTTGAGAAACACTGGTCTAAGGCATTTGGCTATTTGAAGGAGAGATCTCATGTTCTTCCCTTGGTTCCTTCCTAGAGCCAACACTTCAAAAAGTTTTACTACAATTATTTCTATCCTGCCATTTTTCTATCCTCAAGAAGAAGAGTATCCAACTACCTCACTTGAAGGCTTCTGGTTAAATAACAACTAGGGTACCAAATTTTTCTCTTAAAAAAAAGCAGCTTTGGTGAAGCAACTTGTTAGATTAGCATAAGGGAAAGATTAACCCTTCTTCCTCCATGTCATTGTTTTATTCTAGAATACAGCTAGATTATTTTTCTTTTAAGAAAAACAAAAGATGCCCAAATGCAATCACAAGTTTAGCACTTTTAACCTTGGAAATAACTTAATTGTAGGGAAGGTTTTGAAATAGTTTCAGCTGCACATTCAAACATCTCAGACTACAAGTATCAAATCTAAGCTTGTTCAAAGTCACAAGCAGTCTGCGTGCTGAAGAAGCCATCAATGGGGTCAGGGTCAACATGTATTATAAAATTTCCATAGGAGAAATGTTTAACAAATATTATCTGTTAAAAAAAGAAGGATTTCCTTCTATTAGTCTCTGATTTCCTTGCATTTAATTTCAAGAAATGATTCTGAGTTCTAATGTGAGAGTGGGGGAAAAAAATTCTATCCAAATATCTCCGTCATGATATACCTTCATCATCTCTCCCCTTAGATTTCTTTGATTCAAGCTAAAGAGCTCTAGTTGCTGAACTACCGTATTTCATCTTAATAAGAGAGATACTACATCTTTCTAATTATATTGCTTGCTCTGGGTTTGCATTGGTTGCATTTTTTTTCAGCTTTCTAATAGCCTTTTAATGACCAGAACTCATAGCTCTTAGGATAAGAAGCTATCTCTAACAATTAGTTAAAGAAGACATGGGAATACATGGGCAGTTAGGTTAGATATGTAAAGTTGGCTCCCTTAGAGAATAGTGCAACCTGGTTGTTCCATCTGTTAGATGCTTCAGTTCTCAAGTGTAGCTCCTTATCCAAGGCTCTGTGCTTCCGAAGGATTTCAGCCATTGCATTTTTTTTCTGCTCATCATTCCACTATCTTTTCTAGATGTTATATCCATAGATTACTATATCCCACTGGTTATTTCCATTCTGTATTACGGTTTCTGTAATATTTGCCCTTTATCAATGTTTCCTTCCAATGCAGAAAGTGAGAAAGTGTAATTTTGCAGTTTGTTTTGCAAAAAGAATCTGGAATCAAATAATTTTACAAGATGAGGAAAAGAGAAGATGGAAAACACATTTTAAATAATGCCTTATACTTTCCTAAATGCATAAATATTAACATGAGCCATGATTTTAAACAAAAGAAAAGATATAAATAAGATAATAACTATAGGATCTGCCCAGTCTTTTATAGTACAGTAACTCAAAACACAGAGCCAACTTTTGGTATTGGACTCTACACATATGGTTCTTTTTGCTGAATTCTGTTTGTGCACACAGCTTTGACATTGTCATCACTTTGACAATGTCAGTTATCTGACTATAAGAATGTGCAGTCTGATATTTCACATGAGAATCTATGCATTGGAGCTACTACTGATTACTTGTATAAAGTTTCTGTCTAAGTAGGTGCTTTTTGTTTCCTTGTTTTAAGCCAAATTGGACTCAGGTAGTTAAAAAATATTAAACATCTGAATTTAAAATCTCTTCTCTAAGTCATTTATACTGAAGAGGGGCGGGCTCCAAAACTATAAAGGTAAAATAAGGATGGATTCACTCTTAATTGTGTTGTGGTTTCACAGGTACTTCGTGATGGATAAAACCACTCCAGAACCCAACATGGATTCATCTGTGGCAAATAGCAGTAAGTCGCAGTTTGTGCCCTTTGAATCCTGCCAGCCATCTCTCCTTCCATTCTTATTGCTCATCATAGCGTATGCTGTGGTCATGCTGGTCGGACTTCTGGGCAACCTTTGCCTAATTGTCATCATCAAGAAACAAAAACAAAGTCAAAATGTGACTAACGTTTTGATTGCCAACCTCTCCATATCTGACATTGTCATTTGCGTCATGTGCATTCCTTTTACTGTTGCATATACTTGGATGGATTACTGGGTTTTTGGGGAGGCTATGTGTAAAATAACTGCTTTTGCGCAAAGTATGTCGGTCTCCGTTTCTACATTTTCCCTTGTGTTAATTGCAGTCGAGAGGCATCAGTTAATTGTGAATCCCCGTGGTTGGAAGCCCAACGTTTCACATGCATTCTGGGGAATTGTCTTCATTTGGGCATTTTCTCTAATAATATCCACTCCCTTCTTGATATTCTATCAAGTCTCCGACAACCCCCTAAAAAATCTCTCTTCCCACGGCGAGAGCTACGTCAGCAAAATGGTCTGCATTGAGGTGTGGCCGTCCATTGAAGGGCAGCTGGGCTTCACCACCACCATGTTAGTTTTCCAGTACTTCCTTCCACTAGGGTTCATTTTCATTTGCTACCTGAAAATATTTGTGTGCCTGCAGAGGCGGTACAGTAAAGTGGATAAGGTAAGGGAGAATGGGAGCAGGCTAAATGAATACAGAAGGATTAATGTTATCTTAGTTTCAATTGTTGTGACCTTTGGCGCCTGCTGGTTACCTCTGCACATATTTAACATAGTGTTTGACTGGAATTATGAAACCTTGATGCATTGCCACCACAACGTGGTCTTTACCTTGTGCCATTTGATAGCCATGGTCTCCACATGTGTCAATCCCGTCTTTTATGGATTCCTCAACAAGAATTTTCAGAAAGATGCGGTTGTTATCCTTCACCACCTCAGATGCTTTGAATCTCAAAAGTTATACGAGAACATTGCCCTTTCAACTCTGAACACTGATATGTCCAAGGGGTCCCTGAAACTCAGCAGCATGCCTGAAAACCTCTGAAGCAGGCAACTTTCCAATCATTTCCATATCTTTCCATTGATCTATGTATTGTGTTGCTGAATTCCTCTTGCGGGCAAGTGTGGTTTTGGGTTGATGAAATCAAAGGCCTAGTACTGTTGTGCTAAAAGCAGACACCGCCTAAAAGATCTTCCAAATGAATAAAGCAAAAATTAATTATTAACCATAGCAGTTTTAACTCCATTGCAAGAGTATCTTTTGTTCAAGTGCTGTGTGAAAATTAGTATTTGGAAAAAGATGCACCATGTTGCTGGGAAATGATGCAGCATTCCTTGTCTCTTGGACAGCCTCAAATATTTCTTCCAATGAACTAATAGTTTGAGGGGTCCTTGGTGCTCTCTGAGCTTGGTTCTTTTCTTGCAGATGGTTCATTACCCAAACTATGTAACATCATCAGGGCTAAGACTTACTTTAATGCCTTTACAGTCATTATAAAGATGAGAGGTTCACATTCAAACATTCTCAAAAAGTATGTTTTATTAGACATTCTTAGGTTATGACTGAGATCAGGCTTTTGTTTTCAGTCATACTAGTTTCCAGATTTTGGTGTTTATTTTAGATGACAAGATTTAGAAAACAATTGGCTTGGAATGGATGTCAGGCAGGTGCTGAAAGAGGAAGCAGCAGCACATACTGGTGCCATAAATACCACCGTAGTATATATTGTGTGCACCACATCCCAGACTTGAAACTTAGTTTAACAATTGCACGCTGTTGTCTTGGAGTTAACTGCTGAAGATAAATGTACCATTATATCTATACATACACGGATCTTTTTACAGGAACCTGTTTTGTAACTAGTATTCTGGTTTTTATACTATGGGTGTTTCTCACCTTCACTTCTGCTATGACATTTTTCTTTATGGGACCAAACTTTAATTTTCTAACTTTCTCTCCTAGTCTGGCGAGACTTTCAGTTAAAACAAATGAATTCAGGTATCTTCCAAGTTTGTTAGTTGACACAGCAGTGCCGAGATTTTGCCTCTAAGTTAGCTTTCCTAACTTAACTGTTGATAAAGGATTGAATTTTAACCCAGAAGAGCAAATCTGTTTCCACCCTGCATTTTGCCAGTTAAAATATTCTCATATTTTAGGAAAATGTTTTTCAGCACATGTTCATAGGTCTGACATGACTTGAAATGTAGGAAATTCATACTGAGAACATTTATACTGTAGCATGCTTTAAAAACTGCTGCTTCCAACCTGATGATGTCTCAGTGTGTGAATTAGAATTCTTAGCCAGCACAATTCAAGGCCGCTAGGAATTCTGGGAACATATTTGGAGGGTATGATTCAGGTGAAAGCCAGTTGGTCTCGTGATTAAGGCGCCAGGTTAGAAACCAGGAGCCCGTGACTTCTAATCCCATGTGAGGCTCAAAGCCAGTTGAGTGATATTGGACCAGTCACTGTCTCTCAGCCCTAGGAAGCCAGCAAGGGCAAACCACTTCTGAAATCTTGCCAAGAAAATTGCAGGGAGTTGTCCAGGTAGCCCCCAGGAGTCAAAGCTGACTCGAAGGGACATACACACAAACCCAGAGATACGAATTGAACAGTCTGTTTTAGAATTATACATCTGTTCAAGGCCAAACTACATAGAGAGATGCATCCCTCAGTAGGAACTTTCTCTCTCTCCCTCTCTCTCTCTCTCCCTCCCTCCCTCCTCTCTTCTTTTTTTAGATTAAACATTGTAGAGGAGAGAATTGGATTGGGGTAGCAGCTCTTCGTGGTAAGAAAAGTTCCACTGGCAGCTGCAAAGGGGATGATTCGTAGTAGGGGATAAGTCCAAGGCCACCCCCACCCTCCCTTTCCATATGTGCAAACTGGCTGGGATGATTTACACTGACTAATGATTAAAAAAACCCACTCAGTTACGTTAGGGCATGTTATCCTTCAGGATTGAAGTCTGGGAACATCAGTGTTATTCTGAGCTTTATTTTGTAATAAACTTTTTTTAAAAAATTCTGTAATATTTCAATATATTCATTGACCTGTACTGTTGATTTTCTGCTAATATGATTAGCAAGATTTTGTTTTGTTTGTTCATGTGTTTTAGACTTTACAGAGTTTATTGCACAAATGCTTGTTATTTACAGTACATTAAAATAAGGTTATTTTCAAATGACATATCTTTTTACTTCTTCCCCTTGAAATTAGGAATGGGGAAAATTCATGAGGAATGATACAGAATGTTACATTTTGATCCAGGGGGGAAAAATTGCAGAACGAATAATATATGCATTGGATATCCAAGTGGGATCAGTATTGATATGAAAATCAGCCCTCTGTCTCATTCAACCTTATGTTATTTATTAAGAAAACAAGGAGGCATCTTTCACTATAATGAAGCAGCAACCATTTTTGTGGCAATGAATATTAGCATGGAAAGTTCCCATTCTTTTTATTTATAGTCATACAGCAGCATGAAATATCCATACCTAATTGTGACTAAATACTTCTCTTTACAGTGACTATTTTGTACATAAAGCATTGCAGGAGTTTTTATCAGTCTGATTGTATAGCTTACTAAACTGTGTAATCTTTTATAATGCATGGAAATATATACTTTGAAATGCCATTCATGTAAAAGCACGTAAGCATTGCCAAGTATGTAGGCAGTTCAAACTTTTCATTAAATATGAAACTTTGAAAACACTTTTTTTTTTCTAGAAATACCACCTAAACCAACATTTCAGTAGGAGCCAGGAAATGTTAGGGGCCAAACATTTTATCCCTTTTGACAGTGGTGGGTTGCTTCCGGTTCGGTCTGGTTCTATAGAACCGGTAGTAAAACTGGCGGGAGGCTCTGCCCAACCGCCACGATGTCATCATAGGTGATCTGAGCATGCGCAGAAGCTTGCATGCGGTCCCGCTGCGAACCGGTAGTTAAGGTAAGTGGAACCCACCCCTGCCTTTTGAGGATGTGGCAGGGCTTAGATTTATTTATTTTCAATTTGTAAGTGCTAATTCTATATTGTAGCTGCTTAAGTAGCTAGCTCTACTTGTAGTTATTAATTAAAACAGAAAAGGATGTGCATCAAAACTAAGCATTTTGCTACTGAATTAGCAGTGGAATAATCTAGGATCTCTGGATGTTCTTCAAAATTTGATCTGGGAAACCATGTGAACAACAGAGATGCTGGCCAACTCTCTCTTAATCAGTATATTTTTTTAAAAAAATCTAAAAATGTCTGAGTCTGATTTCTGCAGGGAGCTAACCAAGGTGCCAAGAAAAAAAAACTGAAATTAGTTTCCTAGGCAGATTTTTTTTTTTTTAAACAGTGCAAACTTGTCCATGTTTACTCAAAAGTAAATACTGCTGTGTTCAGTGATCTGGGAAGGAGCCACATGGCATGCAGACAAGCAGACTCTGCTCAGTGCTTTTCTGGACAAAGCAGCAGCTTTGCCTCAAAGAAACAGCTGCTGTGCATTTACAGTATTTCAGTAATATCAGCCTTTCTGCTTTGGTGAACATTCAAAGTGGCTAGCAAAAATTTTAAACACAAACAGTATTAAAAAGTTTAAAATGCTAATTAAAATTAGCGTAGAAAAAAATGTCCCCAAAAGCCAATAATTAACAGCTAATGAAAGAGATGCACCGTTATCTTTTCCCCAACATTGAGAAAAGAAAGGGAGATTACAATGTGATTTTTCCAAGAATGGATTCCCTCACCTGGGAGGATAAGATGACATCAACATGCGAATCCTTTGAGAGCAGGGGAATCTTTAAAATGGGATGCCTCCCACCACAGGTAGCACCAAATGCAAGTTCAAGACACTTGGGGGAGGCAGTGGGGCACACAGAGGAAGATTTCAAAATCAAGATGTTGGGTAATCGTGCACAAAAGCCACTTTGTATGAACAAACCACCACAACCCTTCTGTTCAGCTTCTTCATTTTTTTTTAACCTAGTGAGATGGAGTGAGGGTGCTTTGCTTGATGCTTCATTTAAGACAAGTGGTCCTTTGAAACTTGCCCCAACATACAGTGGGATTTGCTTCCAATTAAATAAGCAAATTGCATGGGATTTTTATGGGAATTTGCTTCCCCCCCCCCCCATATGTTTCTTGCATGACTGCTTGTTCTGAAGTAGAGGTGTTTCAAAAATTGCTTGTGATATGCAGAATAGCAATAACTGGGGATAGGAGGGAGGGAGCAATTTAAAGAAAACAGTCCAGGGAACTGGAAGCCTAAAGCTTGAACTCTACAGAAATATCTACTTGCGTGTTTCAAGAAAGTACAAAAAAAACAAAAAAAAAAAACCACACACACACACAAGAAAGGAGGAGAAATTGGCATCAAGCCTACTCAACCTTGAAATGAAAGCTTCATTGTTTGCCAGCTCAGAAATAGCTGAGGGCCTTTCTTGGAGAATGATTGGTAGCTAGACATTGGGAGAAGATGCATTTGAAGCACATTACTTGGTCAATGATGACCCCAAAGTGATTTTCTTTTCAGAGGATATACCCAATCTGTCTGCTAGATACTGAAAGAAGGATCATTGACAGATTTCAGTCTGTGGAATTTATTTGCTATGTATATAGGATATCATTTTAAAGCTTTTAATTGTCTTGTTGAGACTTGGGGATGGAGGTATACATCAATTTGGTGTTGACAAGCCAACAAACTGTTACAAAAATATTAAAGATTATTCCCCTTCTCTCCAGCTATGTCAGATTTGAAGTAAGGTTCTAAGCCCTTCAAATTCTTTAATTTTCTCTTGTTATGCCAAACTGTGAAAATATTTACGGACCCCTCACATCCTGGACATAAATTGTTTCAACTCCTACCCTCAAAACGACGCTATAGAGCACTGCACACCAAGACAACTAGACACAAGAACAGTTTTTTCCTGAATGCCATCACTCTGCTAAACAAATAATTCCCTCAACACTGTCAAACTATTCACTAAGGCTGCATTACTAGTACTATTAGTCTTCTCATCGTTCCTATCACCCATCTCCTCCCGCTTATGACTGCATGATTGTAACTTTGTTGCTTGTATCCTTACGATTTATATTGATATTGATTGTTTCCTGATTGCTTATTTGTACCCTGTGACTATCATTAACTGTTGTACCTTATTATTCTTGACGAATGTATCTTTTCTTTTATGTACACTGAGAGCATATGCACCAAAGAAAAATTCCTTCTGTGTCCAATCATACTTGGCCAATAAAGAATTCTATTCTATTCTATTCTATTCTATTCTATTCTATTCTATTCTATTCTATTCTTGTCCCAAATAAAACAGACATCCTCTATCCATAGTTGGCTGATTCTGCAGATAAATTCAGCAATCAAGAACTCAACCCAATTGCTTCTAAGTGACCTCTTCAGCTTCAAAAGTGGCCTCATGGCACATAGATGAAGTACAGGATCTTCCTCAGAGATTAGAAAGGCCCTGATCCTGTTGGCCTTTTGTAGGGCTCTAAAAATCTGTCTGTGCTCCCGAGCCTTAGCTAAATGTGCTAAGGGCCTCGTTTCCTGGCTTTACTCTTAACTGGCCAAGTAAATATACACAGCATTGGACCACCTTTGACGCTGAAGAGGGCCCTTAGAAGCAGTTGGGTTGACTTCTGCTGTGTATATTTATTGTGAATGTTTTATTGCTTTTAAAAAAAATTTATTATTTTAATTTTTGTATAGGTTTTGAATTATAAGCCACCCAAACTAAAGCAGCAAGGTAAACAACTAAAGGCCATTTTGGAGGCTTACACTCTAGTATAGTGAGATGTAAAGGGGCTAATTTTCTTGCACACAATTAATTCTCAACTCATGCTCTGCAAGGATGTGAGGCGGCCTACTGGTGCTCCTGCCTTCTCCTCCCCAAGTTCTATTACAAGGACCTCAAAAGGTTTGCTAGAACACTTGAACAGTTTATAGATAAAATCTCTTAATTTGGCTTGTCTAGATGACATTTTTGACACTGAGTCAGATTCTTCTTATATAATTAGTCAGAATGAATTTCAATTCCAGTACTCAATGTCATGGACAAGCTGCTTGGAATCATAGGTTCCACCACTTTTCCATTAGATGGTTGCCCACCTTGGCTAGTCTACCCATCATGTAACACCAGTCTGCAACTTAAAGCAGCATCACCATGATTGTGTTCCTGAAGTGATGCAACTATCTTCTATAGATGATTTCGGTTTAAAAAGCCTATAAATGGATCCTACATGGACATTCCCAAGCTCTCCAATATAGCTTTTGCTTTCAAATCCAAAGTGCTGTTCAGATCTACATCATATCTTCATCTAATTTTTTTTTTTTTGCTTCAGTCATTGATCTGCATCGGGGTGAAATCCAGCAGGTTCTGACAGGTTCTGGAGAACCTGTCAGAAGTGGTAGTGGAAATTTTGAGTAGTTTGGAGAACCAGCAAATACCACCTCTGTCTGGTTCCAGAGTGGGGTGGGAATGGAGATTTTGCAGTATCCTTCCCCTGCCACGCCCACCAAGCCACACCACGCCCACAGAACCGGTAGTAAAAAAATTTGGATCTCACCACTGATCTGCATGCATTTTTTTCCTCATTCCACAATCCACAGTCTTTTTCATTTCATATGTCATCAAACTTCATATTTCCTATTACTGTCTGGGACACTTTATAAGAAAATATGTTACACTTTGTTCCACATTGCTTCAATTTCCTCTTTTCTGGCATCTGCTTTCCATTCATTCACTCTATTGGGAGATTATTTTCCAACAGCTTTTCATACAGGGATTGTACTTTCTCTTCCTGAAATATTCATTCTAGTTCCTTTCACTTCTTCCTTTTTTCTTCTTTAGCTACTTTCCCCCGCCCCCATGCCTATTTCTCACATTACTGAATAATGCAGTTTGTTCCCACATTGAGAACTTCTCATGAACCACATACCCTGTGCTTCTTCTTTCAATCTTTCATCAAACCAGCAAATAAATCTCCTACCTGACGCTGATTATTTTTCCAGAGAGCATTTCAGATATGCAATCTCACCATTGATTTTATTGATTCTAAATTTGTTCATGTTATGATGCTGACTGCATCGTTTTATTTTGTGCATTATGGGTGTTTTGCTGACTTTCTTATATTGTCATTTTTATTTTGTATATTATAATGTGGACATTTTATTGTACTGTTTGTAGTCACACTGTAAATCACTTAAGATTTCCTCAGTTGTGAAAACCATAAATCAAAATTTAAAAATAAATAAATATTCTGGAACCAAACTGGTAGCCTCTATTTTCATATGGTCTCATAACCATCTCAATGAAACCAGTTCATATTTTCTGATACACATTTTAGCCCTTTTGTTCATGGTTAATCCCACATCTTTACTTCAATCCATTCCACGAGATTAGTCTACCTTCATTCAGATTTTATACTATAAATATTACTATAAATATTATTACTATAAATATTACTGTAAATATTATTATTTATAGC